TCCAATACTAGTCTTTACCTTTAATCCACTGTAAATTAAAAACAGTATGACGTATTGACCTTTAACATCGGAGAGGGGTATTAATCTACAAAACCGCCAGCACCTAAAGTGTGCTAGCTAGGCTCGCGCTAGCCCACAATGTATGTCATCACATCTACACTTATAGATTTTAAATGTGGCCCTGAAGTTGATATGTATCTTTAATAATCAGAGCGAGACTTCCTCCCTTAAAACCGAAACAATATATTAATCCCTTTTATGCATTTTCTGAAGCATGCTTGGTATAGTCGACATATAAAGATGAAATAGTCAACAATGAGGAAGGGAAATTAAACAACAGAGCACACTCTACCACATGGTACAGTACCATTTTACCTTACATCACTGCAATCAGACACTACTTTTTCTTATTCAACATATGTGTTTCTGTAAAATAAACTAAAAAATTATACTAAATTGTATCCAATTTGACCTGGTTATAATGCATTTAATGCTAATCACCTTACACTGGTACACACATTTGAATATAGCCGAGATGGAAAGATACCAAATACATAATTCATTAAAATGATTAAATGTACAGACATTGTAGTTTATTCTAACTTATTATCATTATCATCATTAACATTATCATTTAAATGTATGTGATCCCCAAGCAAGAATTATCATGCATTACCATTTTCCATTAACAAGTTTCATTTTATTTAACAAGTTTTTTTGTGTGTGTTGAGAAATAAGTCCACATGGACACCTGCTCATGCCAACTATTATTTCACCAAACCTGTAGAAATAGAACAGGCGGTTTTAAAAACAAACGCATAACACCTGGAATTCAGGAGTGTTGAATCACCACCTGCATGAAACTAATGAGGACGGGTGCATATGGTTAGGTACACTTGAAGCCACTCTCTTTTTGTAGTGTCTAGCACCCTATCATCAGTTTTTTTTTTATTCTCCACATCAACAGGCTGATGTTTACAAGCTTCATATTGATCTGGAAATTGAATTACTGGCCTATATTAAAACACGGTAGCTGCACTATAACTTCAAATCCAAATTGTAAAAAAGGAACGTCAACTCTCCTGTATCTCCTTTTTATGTCATGAAATGAACAGAACATGGCTTGTACGGTTTTCAGTATCATCTTTGTTTGTGACCAATCTATTATAAAACCCAAGGATTCAAACTTTATAGAACTAAATTTACTCATTAAATCACCATTATAAATCTGGTATGATACACTGATATACAATTGTGTACAACACTGTAGATGAATATTATATGCATTTGTTTTTTAAAATATGGGAAATGATACATGTAATTCATAAGATGTAATAAACACTTAAATGAAACTGAGATGAAAGATACACAATACATCGCAATTTTTTCTCATAATGCCTGGATTACATTTGCCCCGGGCGCCGTACGTTAGTCTACGATTTTCGTGCGAATTTGGGGGCATCGTAGGAGGCTACGGGCTACGATGTTTGTGTTTACATAATCTACGAGCGTCGGGGCAATCCATACCGAGGCTGCTCGGAGATTGTACGGAAATCGTGCAATTTCAATGCAGTTATATAGACACGTCGAAATTAATTTATCTTCCGTTAAGTCTAATAAATATAAACACAATTGTGATAATGAATAAGTTATTAGATTAAATAACTTTTGTCGTGTTCAACTATTCGGGAATAAATATTTGCAAGCGACTTGCATCTGATTTTTCTATCAATTTTTCCTTGAAAGTCTTGATAATGCCTTCGAACTTTTTGTGATTTTTTTTGGTAATGTCGAGAAGAAATTTTGATTGCAATGTGGACATGAACACAAAATAAGTGTACTCACTTTTGTAGGCGACAATGAAAAGCACGTGTGGTTTGCTTTGTTATTATTTTCATTTTTTTTTTGCTGTGTGTTACATTGTCACGCACAAAGGATTGCTAGCCTTCAAACAACAAAGGGTTCCCACCCAGATGCCTATATTATTGTGTATTTGGGTGTTTTCTAGTTTCCACTATTCGACGTGTGGAAATGGGCTTGGTTATTCATTGGTTCCATTATGATGATAAGACGTGACGCAAACCATAGTCTTTGACACTTTTCTGACTGAGAGGCATTTTGATCCAAGTAAATGTGTTTCACAAGCTCACTGGCTAGAGCTTCTTCTGCTCCACCGGAGAAGGCGCATTTAGTGGCGTGAGTCACGTGACTCTCTGGTATCTTCCTGACCTTAATTAGGAGTGTTTAGCATTGTCGTTGGTTTTGGCTGCTGAAGTGGTGGACTTCTTCGGTGAGCGAGTGCACGGTCATCGTGCAGTGCAGTGACGAAGTGGTACGTGTGGTATGTTATAGACGCTCTTCAAGGACCGGCATGCACTCTTATTTCCACGGAGTCAAAAATGGCGTCAGCTGGGAGTCAACTCTATTCCGAGTTAAAGTGACACGGATTCCGAATCAATTTGACTCGGATTGTGTGGCATCAGCTGAGAATTGACTCAATTCAGAGTCAAGATGACTCCTTTTCCGTGTCACTTTAACTCGGAATAGAGTTGACTCCCAGCTGACGCCATTTAGAGTGAAATTTGACTCCGTGGAAATAAGAGTGTGTAGCGCCAGTTCCCTTGACACCTTATTATAGTCCACGTAATGCTACATAATCTGCCAAAAGTCAGAACTAATATTGCACAGAATACTATAGGTCCTCATTTCTGGAGCCCTATTCCAAACCATCAAAAGAATCATAGTTTCAAACGTTCCTTTCGATCGTTTTTATTGAATTTTTACTCATGCAGTAACTTGAATATTATATTTGATTTATGACGTATATATTTGTATATATAAGATGTTCTAATGTTTTCCTTTTCCTTTCTACCGTTTCCACCTGCATTCTTTATCTTCTTAATGTGCTTTTTGTTGACCCCTTATTCGATATAACAGATTTGATTTCTGAAGTTCAATTTATTGCATTCTTATTATTTGTAAAGTTGCCCTTCAAAATGTATTTATGTATTCCAAATGTTTTATACTTTGTATGTATTGTATATATGTTTTTTATGAAGAATGAAATGAAATACCCATTTATTCTGATTTCTGCCAAGTGATACGCATTGTAATGAATACATCTTTATGTAATAATTTTTAAATTGACTCACATATGTGTAGGAATGTTATTGTTAACAAATTTCGTGTTGTCTTGATGATAAGAAATTACTATTGTTCACAGTGGCATGTTTTACTGTCATTTTTTTTCTTTCTCAGACACTTTCCAACTTCTTTATGCCTCCGACCGCCAGAAGGCGCCACCGGAGGCACGTCCTTATTCTTATAGAAAGGCGGAGTCATACATATCGACTCGAGTCCGTCTCCCCTTGTTTAATCTTGTTCATGTATTGAAACATACAATAATCATTTTAATGATTTTTTAAAATTCATTTTAAATATCACAAGCTCAGTGTGTCCTGATCAAAATCTTGACAGTATAAATACATACTGCAACTATCAATGATCAACGTTTCAATGTGGTATTTTGTATGTAATTGTAACGTTTCTACATCAAATAAAATTTGCCAAATTTTTTATAAAAAAAACACTAATATGACAAGTGGAAGCAGGTATTGCCACAAATGTTCAATGAATATCAGATGTCACAGCAGGGAGGTGCCCTGGTCACAGTCAACATTTGGGATATATGACATTAGTTGTAATTCTTTTCGTCAACAGCTGATATGACCATTTTCCATCCTCTTATACCTTGTAGCTGACATGAAATTTCAATTTACAATAATTATGCTCTGGTCTGGCTGAACGATATGGCATGTCTATAATAGTTACTTCCATAATTATGTATGAATTAGTCTAAGTCGACAGTATTCAGACTTGATTCAATGACATCATGTCATTCACCAATAGTGAATACCCATCAGCCTCTCCCCATTCCTTCTCCTGCCTCCAATCCAATTCTGTATGATCATTCGGGGCAACATTCCAGACAAAGCCGCCCACCGGGGTGCTTATTATTATCTACCAGTAGTAATAATGATGATAGTAAGGGTTCTTGTATAGCGCTCATTGAATATCTGCCATACGGGACACTCCTGGCGTTCCCGATTATTACCCTGGCTTTAGCACGGCTGCCATACGGTGCTCTAGCATTTTAAGGAATTAATTCCTGTCAGATACCCATTTACATCACCTGGGTTGAGTGTGTCAAAATAGATCAATGTCTTGCCAAAGGACATTAGTGCCGCGGCGGGTAAGCACTGATTTGGTTAAAAACCGTCAAAACTACTGGGCCAGAAGGGATAAGACCACACAGCGAGGTCACTGACAGGTGGCTATCTCATTAGCTCAGCTCTCAACTAACATACGAAAAAGAGGATCATGGGGGACCAACAGGCACCGATTGGGGAAGTTTTCTATATAGAGGGAGCAAGTAGCTACAAGTAGGACAGTGGGGCTTTAAATTCAAACATCCGTTCGATAGATGTATAGTTTTATTTATTAATTTATTTATTTTCAGTTTTGAATACAAAATATAAACAGTATACATTAAAACATACATGAAGAAAATATTAACTTATTTTAAACAGAATTGGCCAGGGCTCCAAGATAAGGACAGCTTGATGCCTTGCGAGCCATGATAATTAAGTAGATGTACAAGCAAAATACATAATTAGGGAGTACCTGGTGATGCAAAAGTACAGCAAAGAGAAGAGAATGATAGGTAGAGAGAGGGAAAGAGAGAGAGAGAGAAAGAGAGGGAGAGAGAGAGAGAGAGAAAGAGAGAGAGAGAGGAAGAGAGAGAGAAAGAGAGGCAGAGAGAGAGAGAGGGAGAGGGGGACCGGGTTGAAGTGAGAAAACTACAGTTGATTGCACATAATCATTGTTGATAAAGCAGAAATGATTCATGAGTTGTATAATTATGGTTGTTCAGTTTCATGCGTTCTGATTGGATCATAGAATCATACAAGTCTCTCGTCCGGTATATGCAGTTGGAGTTTAATATCAACCACGTTTTTGTTTTATCAACTAGTGCTTAAGGAATGGATACTCGCAATTGGAAAGCTCTCTTTATGGTGATTAGCATAGGAGTTTCGTCAGCTAAAGAACCGGGTAAGCTATTTTAATTGACATATTGCTTAATTCATATCGTATCATGTAATACCATTGGTGACGATAACGGACGATTTGTGGAAAAGAAGTGGACTGTATGAGAACTTGCCTGATTGCACGTAAAGCAGACCTATTTCGTGTGGCAGAAATTGTTGGTAAACATTATATTTTCAACACTTGGGGGTATTCCTCATTTCATTGTCCATTGGTTCATGCAATGATTATCATTTAATGACATGCTACAAAACAAACATTGACGCAGTATGCTTGAAATCGATAATGAACGAGGTATATAAATTATGTATGAAGCATAAGCACAGCTCGAAGAGACAGAGGACAATAATTATGATCACTTGATCATGGAGGTTCCACATGGCTGTATATAACTGTATTGTATTTGTGAAAATATGCATTACAGTGCTGAAATAGTACAAGTTTAGAATCCATAACGCTATACAGTGCGTATAAAAAAAAGTGTACTTAACTTTGGTAACTTCTAATTATATTTATTCATTTATTTATTTATTTCTGATATTCAGACAGGGTGACTCATTATCACCATTAATGGTCGTCTTCCATGGGGCCCTGTTAAACAAAATAAGGAACAATAGTTTTTTTTTTTAAAGTAATGATGATAATATAATCATGAACAACACTCATAACAGCAACAAAGAATAAGTTAGAACATGTATAAACATGTATACAAAGTAGTTGGTATCCTCGTAATGAATGAATGGTTTGTTTGTTTTGTTTTTATTTGCTTTTTCGTTCAAGAATACGTTGTTGCATATTTATAACATCTTAATTTAACATTATAGTATAGACAGTAATTAGTTTTTAAAACCGATGAAAAGTAACTATTAACATAAGTTGGTATGTACACTGTCGCTCAAATAGTTGGAATATTTTTTTTTACCCCAATCTATGGAATTATTTTGACAATGATTTATTAATATATCTAGATAGTAGTATACATTCTCAGATTGTATTGAATAATAATTTGCCAGTGTTTGTTTTGCGTGACTGCTAAAGCATGTGTATGCTACTATGCTTATCAACTAGGGGACCTATGCCCTTAAGTCATGAATCACAGTAATGAGGAATAATGCCCCACAAAAGGGCATGGCACATCGACACGGTTTTGAGCCTGGGGCCTCATAGTTACGAGGCCATTGTTTAGCCACTGAGCCATGACTGTACGCAGCGGGGGCTAGGGTAGGGGGCAGTTCTCACAAATAACAAAAAACAAAGAAAATGCAATAAATTATCAATAATTCATTGAATATCCCCCGGTCCCCAACATAAAAAGATCTTCTGTACGGCCACATGCATTATGGATCAAGGCATGGGCACAAGGAAGGGTTTTTCAGTAATTGGTGGCTAGTTTTGACGGTAATCGGTGGTATCTACCAGTGGCGGACCCTCCCCCCCCCCCTGAAAAAACGTGTTTTTTAAAAACACGTTAATTTGACCTTTTTTGGGAGATGACCCAAGGCCCCAATTCAATTCCAAATTTCCAACGTTATTTAAATTACACGAGGGTTTGTATCTTTCTACAAAATACACGATAAACAATTAGCCGAAAATAACCTCGTGTCAAGTTTAGCTGAATGAACGCGGGTATTATTCGATGGTCAAAAGTTTGTAAAACGACTTTGAATTAAAGGGAGACAAAAATCTTTTCTCAAAGTTTGTTCGTTGATTCAGGGAAGCAGGGTGCGATCCAGCCGGGGACGATTCTCAACAACATGAAGCAAATAGTAAGCATCTAAAAACTTCAGATGCCTGTTTGATTATGATTTAAACTAATAAACTGATAACTAAAATCTTTTGCTTGTAAATACACAGGATAGGGGTAAATTAACAATCAAAGAAACCAGACTTTTAAATTGAACCCCCCCCCCCCCCCGGAATGATATTAAGGACGGCATTTGTTCCCTCTTGAAACGCCGAACATACCGCGTAGTGTGCAGCTGAATATACAATGGCGTCTTATTTTGCTTACAAGCGACAGATTCCTTTATTTTTGTATCGCTGCATTTGTCATCAAAATAAACCATGCGCGGGGTTTAGAGTGAGGCAATAGATTATACATTTAGCCTGACGGTAGTGAAGTAAGAGAAAGAAATCAAGAGAAGATGAAAACACAGGCACTGAAAATGTGTGAGATGTCATGGGACATCGTCTGCTTGTGCAAATCATGTCCATACTGTGATCTCACACATCTCAGTAGCGTTCGGAGAGCTCTTCAGGTGCTATGCCGGGGCTGTATTTAAGCGTTTTGTAATTTATAATAGTCATTACTTCGAATGTGTCAAAGCATTGAATTTTGATAACCTTGTCGAATCAAAGCTTCAACTTTGCAATAATGAAAAAAAAAGTTAGTTTTTAAAATCAATGAATATCTACTTTGATACTATTATGACGTGCAGTAACAAATTGAAATTTCAGCACTCATGATAAATTCGTTTAACAGTTGATTCCACTTGGTTGATTCTATTGTTCGGGTTGTTTAGCAGAACGAGATAGAAATTGATATTCTCATGGCTAACGACTTTGCGTTAGTAGTTATTCATTGTCTCTACAATGCTATTTGAACAATATTTGGTGACAAAAGACGGCATTTCTATGTAGCGTCAAAGACAGTCAAATAACGAAAACATGGCATATAAAAAGATTCTCAGTACTGAGTCTGATTTAATAAAGGAAATTTAATTTGAACCCGGCCATATTCTGTCTCTCCCTCTCTCTCTCTCTGTCGCTCTCGTTTGTCATTGCCTTCATTTTCCCTCGTTTCCTTCATTCTTACCACGAAATATGTGATGTTTATGCACGTGTATGCCTCAATCACTGAGAATATACTCTTCGCTGAAACGATTCTCCTCCTCCCCATTCTTCTTCATCTTCTACTTCCTAGTAGTAGTAGTTGGAGTAGTGATAGCAGCAGTATCATAATAATCATTGTTATATTTATAATTATAGTAAATATCGTAATTATAATCATTATTATAAAGCTTATTTTTTATTATCATTCTTATAGTTATTTGTATGCTTTTTCTTCTGATCATAATTATCGTATACACAATACGTCCTGTGCCAAGAATTTATTGCTATGATACATCCAAGATGTCTACCAAAACTGTCAATTCGTTGCTGAAATAATTAAGCCAAAAGAAGAAACATTAGAATTTCTACTTTAAGTTGAAATAAATTATATAGGAGAAATAAATAGAGAATACAATCATGATTTTGGAACTAGGGGATTAACATGGACATAATGCACTTGTTTACATGACCACATTATCTCTTATTCATTCTACCTCCGGGGCTGTATTTAAGCGTTTTGTAATTTATACTAATCATTACTTCGAATTTGAAATTTCAGAACTCATGATAAATTCGTTTAACAGTTGATTCCACTTGGTTGATTCTATTGTTCGGGTTATTTAGCAGAACGAGATATAAATTGACATTCTCATGGCTTACGACTTTGCATTAATGTTCATCGTCTCTACAATGCTATTTGAACAATATTTGGTGACAAAAGCCGGCATTTCTATGTATCGTCAAAGACAGTCAAATAACGAAAACATGGCACATAAAAAGATCCTTAGTACTGGGTCTGAATTAAAAGAAACTTAATTTGAACCCGGCCATATTCTGTCTCTCTCTCTCTCTGTCGCTCTCGTTTGTCATTGCCTTCATTTTCCCTCGCTTTCTTCATTCTTACCACAGAATATGTAATGTGTATGCACGTGTATGCCTCAATCATTGAGAATATACTCACTAATATCGCTGAAATGATTCTTCTCCTACCCCTTTTTCTTCTTTAATTTCTTCTTAGTAGTTGTAGTTGTAGTAGTAGTAATAGCAGCAGTATCATAATAATCATTATTATTATCATTGATATATTTATTATTATAGTAAATATCGTAATTATAATCATTATTAGAGTAAGTAAGTCTTATTGTTATTATTCTTATATTTATTTGTATGCTTCTTCTTCTTTTTATTATTATCGTATACACAATACGTCATGTGCCAAGAATTTATTGCTATGATACATCCAAGATGTCTACCAAAACTGTCAATTCGTTGCTGAAATATTATAAAGCCAAAAGAAGGAACATTAGAATTTCTATTTTAAATTGAAATAAATTATGTAGGAGAAATAAATAGAGAATACAATCATGATTTTGGAACTAGGGGATTAACATGGACATAATGCACTTGTTTACATGACCACATTATCTCTTGTTCATTCTACCTCCAATGTTTTCAGACTGTTTTCAAAACAATATCATGTTTGTCGATCATAGTTCTATGTAGCTTGATGTCTCATGGTAATTTAATCAATCTAAGCAACAATTTCAGAATTTTAGCGACAATCGTTCGCCATTGCTGCTCTTTAATACTATTACGACGTGCAGTAACAAATTGAAATTTCAGAACTTATGATAAATTCGTTTATCAGTTGATTCCACTTGGTTGATTCTATTGTTCGGGTTATTTAGCAGAACGAGATATAAATTGACATTCTCATGGCTTACGACTTTGCATTAATGTTCATCGTCTCTACAATGCTATTTGAACAATATTTGGAGACAAAAGACGGCATTTCTATGTAGCGTCAAAAGCCATCAAATAACGAAAACATGGCAAATGAAAAGATTCTCAGTACTGGGTCTGATTTAAAGGAAACTTAATTTGAACCCGGCCATATTCTGTCTCTCCCTCTCTCTCTGTCGCTCTCGTTTGTCATTGCCTTCATTTTCCCTCGCTTACTTCATTCTTACCACGGAATATGTAATGTGTAGGCCTCATTATGTTAATTAGGGTCAATGGTCAAATTGTCTCAATATATCTTCCATACATCCATAATTATCAAGGCTAAACAGTAGAAACTTGACATATGGATAGATCATAATGGGAGAAGCATTTTATATAACAATATGACATCGTGAAAATGCATTCTTTATTACGTAAATCATTAGCATACG